TCAGACAGTGTTAATATACGTGTGACTTCTGTGCTTTTGGTCTCTTAATAAAACTTTTCCATTAAAGCGTTTTAGTAATAACCGATCATACTTGATACTGGTACATTTACTAATAAAATCCATCCCCCTAGATTAGTTATTCTATAAGATTACACTTGGCTCATAGACTAAGGTCTTTGAATTTCCCCCCACATTGCCTGTTGAGACTGGGCCGTGTCTGGTAAAAGCTGCAGCGTCCATGGGCAGAAATAAGGGAGGCAGCAGCTGCTTGGCTGCACTTCTTTTCTTGCTTGACTGCAGTGACTGCTCTGAGAGGTAAACAATCCACTCGGTAAAATAAACTGCTGCAAATGCCCACTGTGGAATGTGTTGTTGGATGATTATGTTGCTCATCCTCCATCCCTAAACAATTCTGTTCAAATTATTCTATCAAACCATATGCTCCTATTTTATCAGCTTTATTTCTTCTCCAAGGTCAGAGACCACACTTTTTTTTGTTTCATGATTGTTTTCCCTCTTTTCCACAAGAGTTCTCAATGTCTATACACAGGGCTGTTTTATTGCTTTTGCAAGGCACTTATTCTTGGGATTAATTCCCACTTTTTGATTTAAGTATGACATATTCTATAAATTATTCAATCTCTAAACCAGACAGTGTGAGAGAAAACTATTACATTTCCCATTCTTAGAACTGAATACAGCAACTGACTTTCAAAAGTAAAACATGGTGATTTTAAAACAATGTATGTTAAAAACATCCTTGGTTCATGAGGACACTGCCACTTAGGGTCAATGTCCAATTTATCTCAGTGCACATGCAGGGTGAAGACTGTAAAGCAAGACTAATGAGCGTGGCAAAAATACACACAGTAATTCATCATTGTAACAAAGCATAGCCCGATTATCAGGGATTTCAGATGCCTGCAGCCGTAATGCAATTACATGGAAACAAATTGTTTGGTCTGCTCAGTTAGAAGTGCAAGAATGTTGAGCCAAAAAAATAGAAAGGGATTGCTGCCCTCATATACACAAATTGTCTTTTTATGGTATGACAAATGTACAATTTGGCTTTCTTTGGGTTATACACTGAAATTGTCTTCAGTGCCTCCCCCAGATAAACCATATTTTGCAACAGATCATGTTGCATAATCCTAGGAAGAAGAGTCAGGTGACTTCAGGTGTCAGGGGGTTAATAGAAACAACCATGCCATCTTTTTCGTGCTTGCCAAAAACTTAAATCTCAAGCAAGACTTCAGAGAGGAAAACCTTTAATTAGTTGAAAATTACCTACCTCAAAAAAAAGTTTCTACTTGATGTTTCTTGCTAAGAAAAGACTAACATCAGCATCATCTAGAATAATTGGGTTTGGTCCCGTTCCTCGTTTCCAGCTATAGGGAATTCAGGTTAGGTTGCTCTTTATTTGAGTTTCCTCCCGAAGGACAACTCTTCTGCAGAAGAATTAAGTCTGTGCGATGCTTACACAGACATTTCCTGCACTTGTGCTAGCAGGGACCAAGACCCATCGTGAGCAAGCACTAATAACCAGACAGCGCTGTAACTAGCTGCTCTGGGCTCACGTGCCTGAGACAGCACCAAAGGCCAAGTCACCGCTGAGACGAGCAGAGAGATTTCGTTTGCTATCACAAATCTCCACCGTGATCACGCCACTTAGGTAAAGTGGGACTGTGAGAGCAAAAGTCTAATTGAAATAAGTGGGCATTATATAACCGTGCTTGTAAGGCAAATTTTCTGCAATATCCCTCAGTGTTGAGGAGGAGATGCCTTTTCTTTAAAGCACTTACAGAACTCCGCTGCAATTTAATGGTTCGGAGACAATAAAAAAATAAATTACGTTTGGGAGCACTGTAGTCAAATTTCAAGGATATATGTGGCTCTTAGCACTTAAGATCCGTAGCCCAGTCATGACCCAGTCATGACCCACGTTTAAGGCCTAAATTTGAAGGCTCAGGGAAAGCACACATCATACAGCTGCTTTTGGGAAGACACCCTCATGTTGCTAAAATGCCCTGTAGAGAAACGTTGCTCCAGGGAACGCCTTGGTTTCCCCAGGTAATCCATGGCAGGCACCAAGGAGCGAACTCGGAGCTCATTCCTTTGCTTTCTCCTGGCTTGTGTGTGCCACGTTCATGTATTCCTTCCTCACCTCATTTCCTTTATTGATCCTGTCTTTCCTTTTTTTTTTTTTTTTTTTTTTTTGGGGGGGGGGGGGGGCCAGTGTGGGAACGGCCAAGGGAAAACCCTCTAGGTAGAAATGATAAGGAAAGTGGCTGGAAGACCCATCCCGGGTTTCGAGGCCATGGGGAACATGCTACTCCAGTGACCAGGCAACACTGCAGCCACTGAAGACCAGCTGCAGTAACTTCCAGTTTTTCCTGGCACTTCTCTGAATCTTGCGAAGCCAGGGAAGGAACCATATGAGGTGCAAAAGTGCTTAAGTTCTTTCAGCCTGGTTTGCCAGCACTGCTTTCTTAAGGGGTGCTGCATAAAGCAAGATTGAGCCAGCTGTAATCAATGAGATGCAAACATGAATTTATCACTAAAAACTGCCTCAATTTAATTTTGTTTGGTGGGTGAATTCTACCAAATTCTTTTAACTCCCATAAACCAGCTTCATCTCCCTTTAATTTCTCAGTCTAGCTGTTGCATATATAAACTCTTTGGAAAAAAAAAAGAGTTTATGATGCCTAAATATAATTCCTGTTATTTCTGCATGCTCTTACTTCAGTTCCATCGAATCATGGATGATCAATTCATATATTATTAAGTACCATGCATAATACTGCCTGGTGGCAACACCCCAAAATTGCTTGGGGATGGGCAATGGGTAGATTTTTTTTTTTCTGTTTGTGTTTTAATTCCAGCACACCTACAAATAGACACATTTTGAACGAGAATGCTCTCAATGGGCTGCTTTTGCCCACTGACTCTACCACTGTGACAGTGGCCAAGTGAAGCTATCCACCTACCCCAGCTTTGCTTCCAGTTGCAACAGACCTCATGGTCCCAATCTTTCAAGCAAGCAGTGAACCCATTGCCTTGTAATTCTTTTAAACAATAGAAGAGTTTGGTAGGTTGACTAATTACTGAGTTTCTCCAATGCCACTTAAAAAAGATGCAGCCCTATAAAACTTTCATTCAGGATATCAGGAGAAAAACAGAGCTCCTGGCACTAATTGATCTTGTGTGGAAGGGAGATAATTTGTCAGAACACTATTCTTAACCTGAAGAAAGATGCAGATATATCTATTTCATTTTACCATTTGAATATAAGAAACAGGACTAAAACCGTAAGTCCTGAAATTCTGACAGTCATTTAACAATAAACTTAACCTAAATGGAAAATCCTTAGCAAGGAAAAATGTTTAAAAATACAGGAAGGAAGAAAATGATGACAGAGATATGCAAAAAAAGGAGATTTAAGGCTTGTCTTGGATGTTAGATGTCCTTGATTTCACCACTAACATGTTACTACCACCACTCACCAACAGAATTCTCAAAACTTATCTAGCTTTCAGTATGAAAATTCATTGAAAGAAAATTCAGCCATCAATCAGCACTCATATATTGAATGCTTATTTTCCACAAAGCATTGTATGCACAAATGTCCATACAAAATAAAACCCAGAATGAGAACAACAAGGTCTATGCAAATGCATATGTGAAGTGAGTGTTTTTTGGGACAGTTCAGTCAGAGCTGGCCGCAGGAAATTATGTCATGAAATAATGATAAATACAATGTAAAAAGATTTAAGTGTATTCAGTCCACCTCCTTGTCAAACCAAGACTGTTCCTGAAATCAGAGCAGCATTTTTCCTAGCATAGTTTTAAATGCATGAAACAATGTTTTTTTCTGCTCCTTGCTTTGAAAGACATCCAAACTTGGGCTTCAACATTCAGTGGCTTTTGCTGTTCTCTACTTGCAGAGCCCATATATAATACAATCAAAAACCTCAACTTATATTAGCTGGGCATATGCAAGAGTGTCCTCAATCAATAAAAATGTTTTCTTATTTGCATTTAGGGGCTATATGGAGGTAGGCTCAGCATCTGCCAGACACTAGCACTGAAAAGGCCTTTATCTTTTACATCATAGCCTGATTGCCCATCCTTTTGTCCTATTTTTCCTACAGACACAGTACCCATGTTCAATGTCTGCAGCCAGACTCTTCCTCTTGTCTGTCAAGGTCATTTATCCACATGCTCTAGGTGTGCCTGCTTGAGCAGGAAGGTTGGACTAGATGATCTCTAGAGGTCCCTTCCAACCTTGAATATTCTGTGATTCTGTGATTTATGGACATTTGTAGACATTTACTCACCCTTTTTCAGTAAGATGATACACATTTCACTTTCTTTGGTACTTCTTCATATAATAATTTCTCTCTAAATTGCCTCCAGTTTACTGCACTGTTAATCAGTTTTATGCATTACCAGAAACAAATGCATTTCAGCAGTGACTTAACTGATTTCTCAATAGTTTGTGTTCCAGATTCTCTTTGTAAGACACTTCAACCTCTATCAGTCAAACAGTTTCCTCCTTGCAAAACTCCAGCAATTGCACAGCACTTTGCATTTTGACATATCACTATAAGGATTTTAAAAAGGGCAGAGCAGCTGAGCATTGAGATTTGTCTTTGCCTGAAACACTCAAATGGGCCAGGACAACATTACATTTTTCTCTTTGTGTTTGTCAATGCAGTATTTCCTACATGCCATTTCAATCTAATATTTAGCAAGAATAACTAGACAAGTTAAGGCCAAAGTTTCCTACACATAAAATGCAAATTATGTAATTTCTCAATTGTTGCTATAGACAGTCATGTCTTATTTGATCTGGATTTCTTAGACTGTAAATAGCTCTCAGCTTTTCATGCAAATTTTAAATAAGTGTATAGTTCATACATACTCTCCATTTTTATTACCTATTAGGGACATAAAACTTCCACTAATAAATCTGACTTACATATGATAATCTGACTTACATAAATGTTGAATCGTTTAGAGTCCAAAGCAGAGGATTCCCAAGCTGATGTACTATAGATTCCCCGCAGTGTCCTGCAGCTGAAGAGGTACAATTGTCTGCTTACATGGTGCTGGTTCTCTCTGGATAATGAGATTACTGAAGAATAAACACAGACCCACCAAAAATAGTTGATAAAAGGTGAAAAATAACTTGTTAAAAAACAGTATAATACTTCTGCTAAAAACTATATTTTACTAAGAATGCCCTACATTTGTGCATTTGATTATAATTTAGTCAAACAGACTGCCGGAATGGAATTTTCTATTTCGGGCTGTTTTTAAGGAAGAATCACTCTGTTCTGAGAAAAAGACTGTGGAAGGTGCTATCAGCAAGATACTCTTGAAACACTTTGTTGGGAACCTCACAAAGAGACAGCAACAAAATGAGAAGCCTTTGACAGAAGAGGCTTGGACTGCAGGTTTTTAAGTTGTGTCCCAAATAACGGGCAACCTCTGAGAAGTTCTCAGCTTCTGCTGTTGGGCAGACTGGAATCCAGGAGAAACCAGAAAGTAAGAAAGAACCTCCACATGCCCTGCAGAGGTACTCAGACAGCAGCAGTTCAAAGCTCTTTTGGGCAATTTAACCTGACCTTCAGGACATCTCAGTGACGGACCCAATCACACAACCATCAGTCAGACGGGAGGATGCTACTAACAGCGTTCTGTGCAGAACACATGCATAAATTTTAGCCCAGTTTGGCCTAAGCACATTATTAGTTTCAGGAGGGCTCCGAGTATGTTCATTAACGATTAGACTACTCTTTTTCTTTTTTTTTTTCCTTTTTTTTTTTTCCCTATAAATGTCCCTGTGATTCTAGCAATACTACTTTAATTCTCTGCCATTGCCCTTTCATCTTATTTAATGTCACTAATGCTAATTCCCAGCCCCATAAGCTCACATAAAGAGACACAAATAAAAAAAGGTACAGAAATAACATATTCCAATAATAAGAAAATAGACCTGCATGTTGCTGGTCTCATAAACAATTCTGAACCAAATTTCACATGACCTGATTGTTTTAATCACTGATGGCTAAAACTGAGTTCAGAAATACACCCAGGAATAGTTATTTTATTAAAACATACAAACATTTAAATAGCACAAAATCAAGACTCAGTTCCTGAAAGATCATGAGCAATTCCAAACCTTCTCAGGTCTAATGAAAACCTGCTCTTACTTTATTAGTTATTCAAGTATTACAGCTTGCACTGCAGGATATAAAAGACTCATGTCAGTAGAGATTTAAACTCACAGAAGTAGAACGATACTTAATGGTTAGTGAACTGCATTGGAATATTCCTTAAAGCAATTTCTCTTGTTCTATGTCTACATTACACTGCATTTTATTTCATGTAAGCCTTGTAAATAGCATGAACAATTAAACAGGTTATGGGTTTGATACTGCCCCACAAATTCAAGTAAAACTTGCATGTCTCCATGTCTAGGCCTGTGCTTCACAGAATAAACCAATGTTAGGAATAGCGAAACACGGAATTTTGGCAATCGCTGGTTAGCACTTACCTAGCACTTACCTGGTAAACCATAATGAAAAAAGAGCAACTTTAATGAAAAGAGCAAACTCAGTAGGTAGAACTTTTCCAGAAATGCAATTTTGGATACTGAAATTCACTGTAATGAAATGCAAAATTGCATGGGAGATGAACTGCTATTCTTTCTAATGTCTCTGTTTTGGTTTTTTTGCCTAGTGAGATACCAGTGAACACAGAAACAATAATTATATTGGCTCTCTACCTTCCCAGTCTCTAAAGAGTTTTCTGTCAAGGATGTAATGCCACAGCTGCATTCTCTCTGTATTTTCAGGTTGATTATACAACTCCTATAACTTGTTTTCCACTGCATGTGCCAGACAATAACCCAAAAGAACATCATGTTTGCAAAACCGAGCTAACATTTGGAGCAATTTCCTAGCCTACCACATGCACGGAATCAGACTTCCTAGCAAGCAAAAGGGAAAAAAAAAATAAAATAAAAAGTGAATTTGTATCAGTATTAAATAATAAACCCTTGCTTTAGAAAGGCTGAGCAACATTGAACTGTGAACAATTAATATTTTAAATACCTTTAAATATACTGACCTTGTTAGAGAGATTCCTGAGAGAGAGTTAGAGAGATTCCTCTCAAGCCTGAGATTCCTGGTTCAGTTTAACCCAACACAGCTCAGCAGTAGTGTCATCAGGTTCTGGTCAACACGTCTTAGAGTCCCATTTATTCTCTACATTTTCTACTTACTTTCTATGCCATTTTTAAACATTGTCAAGGCAGACAGACTTCACAGGCAATTTTATTTTTGGAAACCAGTGCAACCAGAAAAAGAAAAATGTGTATTGTGGTCTCTCTAGTGGACTTCATTTTTGTTTTTTAACATATTACCCTTTTCACCTAAATAGAGAGATAGGTCTCAGAATCAGACTTGTAAAGTTTGCTTTTGCCTCATAGAAAAAAAATCACAACCATCGTTCCTAAATATTCTGCTCATGAGTAGCAATTCCTTACACATAGGAAGGACTGCATATCTAAAAGTTAATTAACAGATATAGGTCATTTCCATATGTCTTTCTCTAAAGGTTACTGCAACAACATTTCCTGAATCTCTTTTAACAATTTAATGGCAGCCTGGCAGTCGTATCATGACAAATAAATTTAAGTAACATAGAGAACGCAGCAGCAGAATACAAAGTATAAAAAATCAGTGCATTTCTTATAAAGATGTGACATGAAAAACATTGACCTGAGGTCCTAAGTCATTTTCATAAGACAAAAGCTTTCCTGCTAATAACAACAAATCAGTTAGTGTTCTGCAAGACTATTATAATAGAGATTATTATAATAAAGCCCCAGAGAAGCCAGGCCGCTGTGTAACCCCGCTCAGTGAAGCAGGAGCCATTACCATTCCACCTTGGTACTTAAAGTTTGCTGATAACATTAGCTGCACTATCTGACAAAGTGGCCTGTTTGATTAATGGGAGATACCTCCAGAAATGGCAGTGGGACTCAACTGAGAAGCACGTGCTGCCTTGCCGGTCACATCAAACAAAGCCAGCCTGACATCAGGAGCACCGCGCTGGGCTTAAATGACAGGGTAGAATATTAATTACAGAGAAGCTGATGGTAGTGCAGTGGCCCTGCATGAAATGTTGCCAGCTCAGAGATTGCTTATATTAATACGAGCAACTAGAACATGAGGTGGATGAAAGAGGGGTCAGGAGGTACAAATATTTTGCATGGGAAGGAGGGAAAAAAAAGAAAAAAGGTACTTTCTGCCTATGAATCCTAAACAGCTTCTAAACAAATGGATCCAAACAGCTTTGCAACAACTATAACGAAAAGTTGTGCCTCATAACTTCTTTTTAAAGGTAAAGTTGCATAAGTTGAATGCATTTTTTTTTTCTCTCTCACCACGGGCGCTGAAGCTGAGATAAGAAATTAAGTGATTGGCAGGAAATTTGTGATGCAGGTTAAGGGCGCACAGGCTATGATTACAAGCTGCTTTAACTGCAAGCTCATCCTTACACACACACACTCAGCTGGAGTCATTTCCTGAGGATCTAAAATGTCGCAATGATTCTTTTCTTTATCTGCCACGTTCCCTTCTGCAAGTATCTTTGCTGCAAGTATCTTTGCCATTCCAGTTTCTCAATGAGACGGTATTTGAAAATATCAAAGTACCGGGGGGGCTGTTACTGAAGTATTTCTGACCCGATCTGTAAATAAACTGGTGCAACTTTTCCAAAAGACCGAGATCTTTTTAATCACCGCTTTTCCTTTCATGTAGCATTTTTTGGCACTTTGCTGCTCAGCAGACTAGTTCTGTTGGAATCCTTATTACAAGCTACACTATTAAATCCAAGCAGGATTTTGCCCAGCTGCTACAAGGTCCAGAAGAATAAATACTAAACAAACAAAACCCCCAAACAGAGGATCTGCTTCCAGCTGGGACTTGCTGGGATGTGTCACAGAAGCTGGTGAACATTTGTTTGAGAAGTGGATAAATGGACATTTAAAGCAGAATGGAAGGGTAGAAGAACAGAGGTAAATGAAAGGAACAGCTAGCACGGGCAGAGCTGAAAAAGCCATCAAAAGATGAGAATATATGTGGTGACTCTGTATAGTCAGTAAAATACAGTATAGTCAGTCTAGGACCAGAAGGGTTATATAAAATGAGAGTGTTTGAAGGTTCTGCACAAATTCAGTAGACATGTTCCTGCTGATGCAACATGAACAGCTAATCATGATGGACATAATACTGAGAGATCCTGCTTGAGTTCAGGCCCTCCAGGCACAGCACAAGCAAATTGGCAGACAATTCCATGCGTTATCAGCTTAAGATAAGACATGATAGGAGCAAAACAATGAAGTAAGACTAAGCAAAAGGAAGTTAGTCTATGTTCCTGTTACTAGATCTATGCACAAAGCTAGATTGTAGAGCAGTCCCCAAGAGCAGCAGCAAATGCCACATCAAAATACGTCACAATGGAAAAAAAAGACACTACCTCCACCAAAAAAGTCCCCAAAGACTTTACTTTGTGCTTACACTTGAGCCCAAAGTGCTCAAGTATACTGAACTGCAGGTAACAAACCTCTCTCAGCAGAGATTAACATAATTACTATCCATTTTTAAATGATAGCAATATTTAATTGCAGCTTCTTCTTAACATCTTAAAGGCTCCTCAGGTGGAAACTTGAATTACCAAAGCATTTTTCATCTCATACGTGCCTCAAACAACAAAGTGAAATTTCCAGTGCAAACCTGAATTTACATAATCTAGATAATGACTGTAGTTTCAATTCCCCAGCAAGAATGAGTGCCAAAAAGTACACCATGACCTCAAAATAAGTTTTCTTTAAGAATTTGTCACAGTTATTACTAGTATTTTATGCACTTAGATTTGTGGCTACCATTTGGATGGATTTAAATAACCTTCTATTTGTTTATAGCCATTAATCAACCTTTCATAAATATACGTTACTCAGCAGCTTACAATCAATTAAAGCCAAAGGGACTTTGACTTTTAGGATTTTTATAAACAACATCTTTAGATTTTAAATCTCAGCTTGTGCAGCTGAAGTGCAATTTC